GGCTCGGTTGTGCTGCTGAGGGGCAGCACGGCTCGGGCTGCTCGGGCGGTGCGGGCGGCTCGGGCGGCTCGGGCGGCTCAGCTCCTCAGCGGCACAGGCGGCGTGGGGACCGAGACGGCGGCGCGCGGCTGGGACGGGCGGCGCACGGGCGGCGTGGGGCCGGGACTGCGGTGCGCGGCCGGGACGGGCGGCTCACGGGCGGCGTGGGGCCGGGACGGGCGGCGCGCGGGCGTCGAGGGGCCGGGACGGGCGGCGCGCGGGCGTCGAGGGGCCGGGACGGGCGGCGCGCGGGCGTCTAGGGGTCGGGCCGGGTGGCGCGCGGGCGTCTAGGGGCCGGGACGGGCGGCGCGTGGGCGTCGAGGGGCCGGGACGGGCGGCGCGCGGGCGTCTAGGGGCCGGGACGGGCGGCGCGCGGGCGTCTAGGGGCCGAGACGGGCGGCTCACGGGCGGCGAGGGGCCGGGACGGGCGGCGCGCGGGCGTCGAGGGGCCGGGACGGGCGGCGCGCGGGCGTCGAGGGGCCGGGACGGGCGGCGCGCGGGCGTCTAGGGGCCGGGACGGGCGGCGCGCGGGCGTCTAGGGGCCGGGACGGGCGGCGCGCGGGCGTCTAGGGGCCGGGACGGGCGGCGCGCGGGCGTCTAGGGGCCGGGACGGGCGGCGCGCGGGCGTCTAGGGGCCGGGACGGGCGGCGCGCGGGCGTCTAGGGGCCGGGCCGGGTGGCGCACGGGCGTCTAGGGGCCGGGACGGGCGGCGCGCGGGCGTCTAAGGGGCTGGGACGGGCGGCGCGCGGGCGTCTAAGGGCCGTGACGGGCGGCTAAAGGGGCCACTAGGGGCCAAGAGAGAGGGGAGCGCGACTCGGGTAGGGGCAGAGTGCGCTCCGGGCAGGAAAAAAAACGGTGGGCCCTAGGAACAGTTCCCACGAGGGAACCTGCTCGATACCATGAGAAGAATGAAGAACGAGGATGGATCAACTATGAGTGAGGTGAGTACATATGGAAAACCCTAATTGGGTTGTACCCCCTATGGGATACCCCACTATAGCCTACACAACAGCATAAGCTATATAATGTTCTGACATACCTCGCAACACCGCGTTATTGTTTTCATCTCTTAACTATTGAGTGTTCGCTCACACTTGTATTCTTTGAACCATTGGTTCAATCCCAGCTTTAATGGTTCAATTGCACTAGTAACAAACTCAAAACACTTTCATAACTCGTAACGTGTTAGGCCCCTTGGCCTAAATCTGCTAAAAAATAGTGGGGTCGACTAAGTCGAGGATGAAACGCGGCGGAAGACTTTGGCGAAAGAAGTGTTTGCAAACTGGGGCGAAGAAGTTACTGAGTAAAGAGTTGAATGAGAATTGGTTGATATTGGCGAATACAAGCAATGATGATATAGCATGCGAGAGCGAATATCAGAAAGTAGCTCGTGGGACTAGGAATTGAAATGCTATAAAAGTAGAGTGCCACGTGGCACTAGGAAATCTGGGTAGATAAGATCAGAATGAGCTGGAAAGTACTGTTCAAAGTGAACAGTAAATCCTCCTTTAACACTACCCCCCTTCCAAGGAGGCGACGTCCGCGGCGTCTGCAGACTGAAGATACGCTTGGAGGCAAGCGTTGTCAGGAGACAGCGAGGACGAAGGAACCCAACTATCGTCGGCTGTGTCGTAACCACGCCAAAGATCTAAGAAGTCGATGAAAGAGACACCCCCCTGCAGACGGCGACGGTGCCTGAGGATGCGCTGGATCTGGTAGTCGGGCTCATCGGTGTCAACGGCTACTGGCAGTGGAGTGCGATCACGACCCGAGAATGTGGTGCTGGGATCGGTGTATGGTCGAAGCAGAGACACCTGGAATGACGCGTGCATGCGGAAATGAGCGGGAAGGCGAAGACGGTATGCGAGTGGACCTAAGCGACATCTGTCCGTCCGTCTCTGGATGGTACACAAACGACATGGCAAAGCGAGTCCCAAACAGTGCAAAAAGCTGATTTCATAACGCGAAGTGAAACGAGGGTCACAATCTAAGATGATGGAATCTGGAACCCGATGTAGTCGAACGACGTTATCTACGAACAGCGTCGCGACTTCCTTTGTTTTGACCTTACCGTGCATGGGGATGAAGTGCGCTGCCCGAGAAAACTTATCCACAACCATGGAGATGTGCGCGGTAATGCCATGATGAAATCCATCGTAACTACCTGCCAACGGCGGTCGGGCGGTGGAATCGGCTGCAAAAGTCCGGCCTTACGCCGGCGAGACGACTTCGTACGCTGGCACATGTCGCATAAGCGAATGTATTCCTCTACGTTTGCTACAAGCCCTGGCCAGAAGTACGTGCGACTAAGCGTCTTAGCCGTCTTGTCTGCTCCGAACCGACCTGCACTAACTACGCCGTCTGCCTCGGAAAGGAGCTGTCGTAGAGGGTGGTATGATGTAACCCAAATCCGTGTGGTACCCTTCTGTATGTAGACACTACCCTGGACCTCTGCTCCTTCGGGCGGCTGTGGTGTGAAGTCGGAAAACCTACTGTGTATCCGTGCTCGAAGAGTGCTGTGAGAAGTGGATGGCCTGCAGCGACTGTTAGGCTAGCGAGCTGGCAATTAGGGCGAGTGAGCGGATCTGCTGGGTTGCGCACGCCTGGCTTGTACTCTATCCTGTAGGAAAAGCTCCCCTCCGTGAACTCCATCCATCTAGCCTGGCGACGACTCAGGTGCGGTTGCGACTTGAGGAAGCGAAGCGAGCAATAGTCCGTGCGTATCACACTATCTTCCCCCTCTAGGTAGCACCTCCACACCTTATACGCATGGATGATCACGGGCGCCTACTTCTCGTGTATGGGATAGTTCAGCTCGGCTCCCCTCAGCTTACGCGACTCGTACGCGATCGGCTGCAACCCGCGGCCCTGGTCCTGAAGAAGAACTGCTCCTATGGCCTGATCTGATGCGTCGGTCACTTCAACGTACAGACAAGTAGGATATGGGTACGATAGTGTAGGTGAAGACATGAGCGACTGCTTCAGCTGCTCGAACGCCTGTTGCTACACTTGACCCCAATCGAAATCTACGGCCTTCCGAAGTAGGTCGGTGCGTGGACTAGCGATCGATGCGTAACCTTGAACGAAGCGACGGTAATAGTTCGCGAATCCGAAAAAGCTCTACAACTCCTTGACTGAGGTCGGAGCCACATCATGTACAGCTGCGATCTTCTTCGGGTCGGTCCTAATGCCACTAGCGGATACGACGTGACCTAGAAACTCGACCTCCGGGAGGAAGAACTCGCAGTTCGACTGTTTAGCGTACAACTGCTCCTTCCCCAAGACCCCGAAGACCTTCTGCAAGTGCTGCACGTGCTCCTCTTCTGTCTTGGAGAAGATAAGGATGTCGTCTAGGTAAACTACGACGAGCGAACCCAGGAACTCGGAGAGGACGGTGTTCATGAGCGTATGAAACGTCGCTGGGGCGTTGGTCAAATTGAACAGTAGAAGCCTGGACTCGTACAACCCCTGCTTCGTACGAAACGCCGTCTTGTGCTGATCTCTGGAACAACGTGAATCTGATGGTAACCCGAACGAAGGTCGATATTGGAGAAGATTCTAGCGCCCTGCACTGCATCTAGGAGATCCTCTACTCTCGGTACGGGAAACCTATTCTTGACGGTGGCTGCGTTCAGTGTGTGGTAATCAATGCACATCCGTAACCCTCCGTCTTTCTTAGGCGCGAAGAGGATCGGTGCTGACCAATGCGATCTAGATGGCTGTATGAACCCCTGCGCTAGGAAATGCCTAACTTGCTGCGTCATCTCCTTTGTCTCTTCTGGACTCAACCTCCACTGCGGCTTCGCTACTGGCCTGCTTCCGGCTCCAACTCTATTCGATGATCGACTGCTCGGCTAGAAGGTAACCCTGGGGGCAACTCGTCTGGGAAGACGTATGCAAACTCTGCACTTCAATAGGAAGAGTTGTCTTCTCACCAACACCACGTTACTGTTTGCATCTCTTAACTATTGAGTGTTCCCTCACACTTGTGTTCTTTGAGCCATTGGTTCAATCCCAGCTTTAATGGTTCAATCGCACTAGTAACAAACTCAAAACACTTCTATAACTCGTAACGTATCCCATGGGAATGGACCTAGTGGCGGACCTATCGAAGGTTGGTGCGTGCTTCGAGTTTCCCCGAGGGGATGTGCTGAGCATGTACCTGCTCAGAGCAGGGTGCGTTCTTGATTCTCACGTCACGCTGCTGCTTCCCCCTACCTCGCGCCGCCGAGCAGTAAATCGCACAACGCTCCCCTCCGAGTCGCCCTACAGGGCTGCTCATCTCGTCGCCAAAAGGACTACGGTGTGGCCGCTCGCCAATCAGAGGGTGAAGTCGCCGAGCGACATGCGATGTTCATCGCGAATGCGTCGCGCACATGTAGTTTCCAGGTTGGCGCGCCAGCCCCCACACCACCTGGGTTTCGCCGCGGCGTTGCTCGGCGGAGCGATAAGGTGGGCGGTGTGTGGCCGGGTGATGGGGGACGCGGCGGAGCAGATGGGGGGCGGGTCGGTGGGAGCGTTTTTCCGCCTCTGCGTCCGCCACTCCGCGACCCTCACGCCACCCCTCGGAATCGGGAAGTGCGCTGGGCTTCACGCGAGCGCAGAACAGCGAGTCGCTGTTGAGAGGAGGGGGGGAGAGGCGAGGGGAGTGGGGGAGAGGCGAGGGGATGGGAGGGGGATTAAAAGGAGACGCGTGCGGCGAGGCGAGCAACGACACCGCTTTTCTCATCGCGTGGCGCCCCTTCCCACCGTCGCATCCACCACGCCTTCCCCGCCTGCCGCCAACTCCTGCTGCTGCCGCTACCCACTGCGCCGCTCGCCCTCTGTAGCTCACTCGCTCAACCACTGTGAGAGCAGCGACGGCGCGTGTGGCGCGGCGAGAGCGCGGCTGTGCGAGAGGGCGCGAGGAGTGGCGAGAGCGCGAGGGCGGACGCGAGTGACGCACGCGTTGGAAGAGAGGCATGGCGTGGAGCGAGGAGCGCAACGAGTGGGCTATCGCTGGGAGCGAGGGCGAGGGCGACGCGATGCGGCGAATGGGGCAGCTGGCCCTGGCGGACGTGACGCGCCTGCTGCTGGAGGGCGATGAGAGCGATGGGGGCGATGCGGGCGACGTGGGTGAGGGAAAGGCGGGTGACATGGGGGGAGGGAAGAGCGATGGAGGAGCAGTTGAGGGCGACGAAGGGAGAAATGAAGGCGGGCAGTGGCATGAAGGCGAGGTACGAGGAGGAGGCGGGAGGTGCAAGGAAGGCGAAGAGGGACAGCAGGGCGAGCAGGCGCCATGGGCGGGTGGGAGCACAGCTTGGCAGGCAGCAGCCACAGCACCCAGTCACACCAACGGCATGGCACGTGGGACCGATTGTGCTGTTCTTGGTGCTGCCAGTGGCGATGCAACCAGCAACGCTTGTGCTGATTCATATAGTCCCTCTACCGCCCCCGCTGCCCCTGCTGCTGCCGCCACTGCCCCTACTGCCGCGGATCCAGACTCTGCTGCCGGTGCCACGAGTGCCACTGCTCTCGCCGTTGCTGCTGATGCTGCCCACGGGAGCAACCAAGCCACTGTGGCGGGCACGGAGCGCCCTGCTGCAGCGGTGGAGGGCATGGCAGCAGCAGGCGGAGCGGACGACTGGCTGCATCTGCTGCACGACGATGCCCACTGGGATTTGCTCCCCGCCTTCTCCCTGCCGCCCCTCGCCCTCCCTCCCCTGCATCTGCCCGCCTGCCCTACCATGCATGCCCCTCCAACGCACCCTACCGTTCACAACCGCATGGGGGTGGGGCAGCGTGGGAGTGCGGGCGAGGGCGGCCTGGGAGCGGTGGACCTCTCTCAGATCGGCTCGTCCTGCGACCTGCTCGCCGCCGCTGGGGGCGCCCCTGCGCTGCCCACCAGCCCTGCCCTCGGCGCCGCGTGCTGCAGCCCCGAGGGCGGTGCGTGCGGGTCGGGCGTGTGGCACGCGTTGGGGGCGCGCCTGGGCTCTGGGCTGCCCAGCGACGGCAGTGGCAGTGCTGGCGCCGGAGGCATGGGCGGTGGCACGAGGGCGAGGAGTGGTGGTGCAGGCGGCAGTGGCAGTGGCAGTGGCAGTGGGAGAGGCGGGGGCGATGCGGAGGGAGTGGCGCGTGGCAGCGCAGCAGCAGAGGCGATTAGCGAACGGGGTAGGGCAGCAGCAGCATCAGTGGAGCCAGGAGGAGGCGGAGACGAGATGGGGGAGGGCGTGGAGGGTGGGGAGCAGGGGGTGGGAGGTTGGGCGGTGGGCGACAGCGAGGTGGAGGGGCCGTTCGCTGCGGCCCTTGTGACGTGCGTCCACTGCTCCTCCCTGCTTCAGGTCTGCACCCTCCTTCGATTCTCTCCATTACGATTGTTCTTTCCTTCACCTTGTATTTCTTTTCGTGCCTCGTATTCTCATGCTGCTGCCCCCATCGCCTCATCACGTGTCCTACCATCATCGCCCCGTCCCCATCTCACTCGCACCCCTCTCAGGTCGACATACCTGCCGCCATCCCCTTGGCGGCCATCTGCACGCTCTTCTGCGGCCACTGCTCCGCCCTCCTCGCACTGCCCTCCACCGCCCTGCCCACCTTCACTCGCACGCGCACCTCTCGCCCGCTCACACCACCTCATGGCGCCGGGGTGCACGTGGCAGCTGCCACTGCTGGCGGGGGGGCGAGGGGCGCCCACAGAGGTGCGCTCAGCAGTGGCGCGCCGCCAGGGGCGCTCGCCCCGCGGGCTGGTGGGCGCACTGTGCACGCGTGTGGTGGTGAGGCGGTGGCTGGTGGGCGCACTGTGCACGCGTGTGGTGGTGAGGCGGTGGCTGGTGGGCGCACTGTGCACGCGTGTGGTGGTGAGGCGGTGGCTGGTGGGCGCACTGTGCACGCGTGTGGTGGTGAGGCGGTGGCTGGTGGGCGCACTGTGCACGCGTGTGGTGGTGAGGCGGTGGCTGGTGGGCGCACTGTGCACGCGTGTGGTGGTGAGGCGGTGGCTGGTGGGCGCACTGTGCACGCGTGTGGTGGTGAGGCGGTGGCTGGTGGGCGCACTGTGCACGCGTGTGGTGGTGAGGCGGTGGCTGGTGGGCGCACTGTGCACGCGTGTGGTGGTGAGGCGGTGGCTGGTGGGCGCACTGTGCACGCGTGTGGTGGTGAGGCGGTGGCTCGTGGGCGCACTGTGCACGCGTGTGGTGGTGAGGCGGTGGCTGGTGGGCGCACTGTGCACGCGTGTGGTGGTGAGGCGGTGGCAGCGCCGGTGGACTCCGTTGACCGCACGTGGCGCGACGGCAGCCCCACAGCCACAGCGGGCGACAGCGCCGGGCTGGCACGCACGCCGCGCCGCGTGCTGCCTGCTGTGCTCCGCGGGGCGGTGGCACCGGTGGGGAGTGGCAAGCGCGGCCAGCTGGCTGCTGCTAGGGAGATGGGGAAGCAGGAGGGCATGCACCATGAGGTACGTGGCTGGAGGGCATGCACCATGAGGTACGTGGCTGGAGGGCATGCACCATGAGGTACGTGGCTGGTGGGCATGCACCATGAGGTACGTGGCTGGTGGGCATGCACCATGAGGTACGTGGCTGGTGGGCATGCACCATGAGGTACGTGGCTGGAGGGCATGCACCATGAGGTACGTGGCTGGAGGGCATGCACCATGAGGTACGTGGCTGGTGGGCATGCACCATGAGGTACGTGGCTGGTGGGCATGCACCATGAGGTACGTGGCTGGTGGGCATGCACCATGAGGTACGTGGCTGGTGGGCATGCACCATGAGGTACGTGGCTGGTGGGCATGCACCATGAGGTACGTGGCTGGAGGGCATGCACCATGAGGTACGTGGCTGGTAGGCATGCACCATGAGGTACGTGGCTGGAGGGCATGCACCATGAGGTACGTGGCTGGTGGGCATGCACCATGAGGGTGACTCCCTTCTATGTCGACTCCCTTCCAGTCGTTCTCATCGGCCCCTCGTCCAATCCCCCCTGCAGCCACTCCCCCCGCGCATGCACCTGCCCGCTGCGCCCCCCTGTGCGACCGGGCTGCTGCACCCCTCCCTGCCGCTCACGACGGCCCTCCTCACCGTCGCTGCTGACTCGCCAGAGGCGGCACCGGGCAGCGATGGAGGGGTGGGCAGCGATGGAGGGGTGGGCGGGGCGGGGAGTGCGGCGGAGAGCAAGAGGGCGCAGCGGGCGCTGAGGAAGCGCAAGCGAGCCGCCACTCTCACTGGTACGCCCACCCGCCACTCTCACTGGTACGCCCACCCGCCACTCTCACTGGTACGCCCACCCGCCACTCTCACTGGTACGCCCACCCGCCACTCTCACTGGTACGCCCACCCGCCACTCTCACTGGTACGCCCACCCGCCACTCTCACTGGTACGCCCACCCGCCACTCTCACTGGTACGCCCACCCGCCACTCTCACTGGTACGCCCACCCGCCACTCTCACTGGTACGCCCACCCGCCACTCTCACTGGTACGCCCACCCGCCACTCTCACTGGTACGCCCACCCGCCACTCTCACTGGTACGCCCACCCGCCACTCTCACTGGTACGCCCACCCGCCACTCTCACTGGTACGCCCACCCGCCACTCTTGCTCGTGCCTCTTTCTCCCGTCTGCACGTTCCAGCAGCTCGTGTTCACTTTCCCTCGCTGCATGCCCGGCACGTGTACCCGTTCATGCCATTGCATGTGCACCCTCTCATGGCATGTGCACCCTCTCATGGCATGTGCACCCTCTCATGGCATGTGCACCCTCTCATGGTATGTGCACCCTCTCATGGCATGTGCACCCTCTCATGGCATGTGCACCCTCTCATGGCATGTGCACCCTCTCATGGCATGTGCACCCTCTCATGGCATGTGCACCCTCTCATGGCATGTGCACCCTCTCATGGCATGTGCACCCTCTCATGGCATGTGCACCCTCTCATGGCATGTGCACCCTCTCATGGCATGTGCACCCTCTCATGGCATGTGCACCCTCTCATGGCATGTGCACCCTCTCATGGCATGTGCACCCTCTCATGGCATGTGCACCCTCTCATGGCATGTGCACCCTCTCATGGCATGTGCACCCTCTCATGGCATGTGCACCCTCTCATGGCATGTGCACCCTCTCATGGCATGTGCACCCTCTCATGGCATGTGCACCCTCTCATGGCATGTGCACCCTCTCATGGCATGTGCACCCTCTCATGGCATGTGCACCCTCTCATGGCATGTGCACCCTCTCATGGCATGTGCACCCTCGCATGGCATGGCAGGGTCGAAAGCAGTGGCAAGGGAGGGGTCAGAGGAGGTGGCTGATGGCAGCGGGGAGGAGGAGAGCTGCAGGGGGGGAGAGCAGAGGGGCGGCAAGGCAAGCAGCAAGGCGGCAGGGAGGGAGGGAGGGGTCCCTGTGAAGAGGCATCGCAAGGCGTCCACCTACAACCTCTTCATCCGGTGCTCCTCTTTCTCCATCCACAACTCTCCGCCACTCCCTCCTCTGCATTCTCTCCACGTGCCTGAAACCTGCTCTGCTCTGTCCCGTCTCTGCCTGTCCCTCGCGTGCCTCTCTGGCCGCCTGCCCTCCGCCCCGCTGTGCCGTGCACAGGGATGAGATGATGCGCCTGCGCGCGGGCAACCCGGACATGGACCACCGCGAGGCCTTCAAGGAGGCCGCCAGGCGGGTGGGTCTTGGGGGTTGGGTCATTGAGCTGTTGTGTGGGGGCCATGTGCTGTGCATTGAGCTGTTGTGTGGGGGCCATGTGCTGTGCATTGAGCTGTTGTGTGGGGGCCATGTGCTGTGCATTGAGCTGTTGTGTGGGGGCCATGTGCTGTGCATTGAGCTGTTGTGTGGGGGCCATGTGCTGTGCATTGAGCTGTTGTGTGGGGGCCATGTGCTGTGCATTGAGCTGTTGTGTGGGGGCCATGTGCTGTGCATTGAGCTGTTGTGTGGGGGCCATGTGCTGTGCATTGAGCTGTTGTGTGGGGGCCATGTGCTGTGCATTGAGCTGTTGTGTGGAGGCCATGTGCTGTGCATTGAGCTGTTGTGTGGGGGCCATGTGCTGTGCATTGAGCTGTTGTGTGGGGGCCATGTGCTGTGCATTGAGCTGTTGTGTGGGGGCCATGTGCTGTGCATTGAGCTGTTGTGTGGGGGCCATGTGCTGTGCATTGAGCTGTTGTGTGGGGGCCATGTGCTGTGCATCGAGCTGTTGTGCCCGCATCGTTCGTATCAATCGCTCACAAACTGTGCTCCCCGCATTCTATCTCATGGTGGTTCTTCTCCCCACTGCTTTGCATCGCCCCTCTCCGCACTGACATGGCCCTCCCCTCCCCTCACATGCTGCCCTGCCATGCGCGTGGGTGTGCAGTGGGGCAGTGCAGCAGAGAACGTGCGCGGCTCACATGCGCTGGCAGCAGCAGCCAGGGCCAGGGCGCTGCTGCTCTACCCCATGCACGCGCCCCTCATGCACGCGCCCCCCATGCACGCGCCCCCCATGCACGCGCCCCTCATGCACGCGCCCCCCACACCCTGCTCACTGCTTCCGCCCACTGCTGCTGCCGCCACTGCGGCTTCTCTGCCTGGCGCACGGGTGGGAGCAGCGGTGGTGGGTGGGGGGATGGCAGGGCAGCAGCGGGTGCGGGTGGAGGGGCAGGGAGGCTGCGAGCGGGGCGAGGCGCATGGTGGCAGTGCGGGCTTGGTGGCAGGGGTGCGTGGTGGTGGCAGGGAAGGGCGGTGGGTGGTGCGGGGTGAGGAAGAGACAGGCCGGGCAGGGGTAGGTGAGGTGGCAGCAGCGGCAGAGAGGGTGGTGGGGGGGTGGTGGGGCGCTGGCTGTGGCGTGGACAGGGGGGCACGCAGTGATGGGTGGGAGGAGGGCGGCCATGTTGATGGATTGGGGAGTGTGCCCCTGGAGATGGGGAGGGGGAGGCATGGAGGCGGTTTGAGCAATATGGTGGGTGAGGGACATATGCAGGCAGGCGGGTGGCACATGGAGCAGAGGGAGGAGCAGGCAGGGGGTATGGCGCACGGGCTGGCAGGCGAGGCAGCAGCGGCCTATCCCCTGCAGCAGCACGTGTGGGAGGTGGAGCGCAGTGAGCAGCAGCAGGCGCCACAGGGGCTGCACAGCGATGCGTACCGCCGGCTGGCTGCAGGCATCAGCAGCAAGCTCATGTCATCTTGATTTCCAACAAACACGTGAATGTGAACGTGCCAGCAACGGAGGGCACAGTTTTGGGGGCAGCAGCAACAGTACCATTTTGTTTATTTCTCATTTGTGTGCTACATGTACGAACAAGCCAGGGTGATACCTCAGAGATGGGTTGGCCGATCCCCCATACCGTGCTCTTGTTTGTTGAAACTAGAACAACGGAATGAATGGCATTAAGATGAGTTTGGTACATATGCCTAACCCTAAAAGGGTCATACCCTTTAGAGAGTGCCCCACTACAGCCTACAAGCATATATTATGTTTTGACACACCCCCATAGACAAACTGGGGAACAGCAAGAACAACAAGCGGTCACAAGACCAGTCAAGAGAAGCAACAAAGCATCAGGGTGGATCTCAAGATCACCACACAGTCCGAGCACAAGCAAGCGGTCAGACTCACAAGGCCAATTCACATGCAGTGTTATAATAGCACAAACAGTACAGTGAATCAGGGCCTATGTTATCAAGATAATTTATCCTGATTCTCCTGAATTCAGGATAGGTGTCGTGTGCTTCTCCTGAAAAAACAGCATAAGGGAATTACTTGTCCTGTAAAATCAGTATGATGGTTATTTTGCGTACTGAAAACTCAGGAAAACGCTGTAGGTTCAGCCCTGACGACTCAGGATAGTGTCGAATCTCGCCCTGAAGCGAGATGTACTGCACGAAAAATCTCCTGGGTTTCGGGGCCTAAGATGTACACGGGCGAGCACCTCAAACAACAGGAGCCAACGGGAACCGAGCAGGCGATCTACCGTGTAACGATGGCTTTACCCGCTACCACACTTCACGACAAGATAGGTCGGAGACGTACAACTAATGTTTTTCTCTTGCGCCACTTCGCCTTGGCCAGCCAATTTGGCCCACGATGTCCACCACCACCTTCGCCATCCGCTTGTACCGTGCTGTAACAGTTTCGCACCATGCAGCTGCCAGCGACTTGCACTGCCAGCCACTTGCAGCTGCACCCCAGCATTACTTCGAATGTGGAGACATTTTCAGCATTTCGATCCCCGCTAACATAACATGCGCGAGATACACAGGATTGTAAGAAATGTAGCACTGAGCTGCCAGGATACTGTCAAATGTAGCACTGACATTTCAGGATACCTCACCCTGTGCAGCCCTGACATTTCAGGATACCTCACCCTGTGCAGCCCTGACAATTCAGGGCAAATTCTGATTTCCTAAAAAACTGCCCTGAGGCCTCAGTGTATCCCCAAACGAATCAGAGGGCCTGCAGTGAATACTACCTAGCAAGCGTAAGCTTGCAGGTATATATATATTTATATAAGGCAAAGTCAAGCCAAGCAAGTGAGGCAGAGTGGGCACAAGCCCAAGAGCAGTGCAGAAACGCTGATGATCACCAGACACCAAGGCCTTGGTGAAGATATCAGTAGTGTTGGCCTGTGAGGCCACGTACGCAAGACGAAGCTGACCACACTGCTGGAACTCCTGCGCAAGAAAGTAACGAAGAACAAAGTTCTTCGTTCTGTGCTCCAGCCTCTGCTTCTGACACAAGGCAACCATGGCCTTGTTGTCGACGTACAGAACCAGAGGAGAACGAGGCCGCTCACCCAGGTCAGTCAGCAAGTACGTCAGCCAGCGTAACTCCGGTGCAGCCATAGCCCCAGCGTAGATCTCTGCCTCACAGCTGAAACTAAGTACAGAAGACGAGCGGGTGGACCTCTAGGAGACAGAACCGGCGCCAAGACTGAAAGTGTAACCCTGTGACGACCGATGGGGCTCCTGGTCGTCAGCCCAAGAAGCGTCGGAGTGCAGTGAGCACAACTCGATCCTGTCCTCCAAGCACAAGCCCCATGCCTGATGTACTGCACAAGTAACGCAGTACCCTCTGTGCAGCCCGGTAGTGCTCAGGGTGGTGTCTCCCGGGAGCAACGAAGCGCGCCAGGATGCAGAGAGGGTACGCAAGGTCAGGTCGATGCACGTCATCAGGTACATGAGGCAGCTCACAAGCTCTGGATACGGACCACTCGGCTCTACGGACTCGTCCGAAGGTGGAGCTGAGAGCAAGTGGCCTGTAGGCAGAGGAGTGATTGTGGCGCAGAGAAAAAGCGGAAGCGCTGAAGGACCTGCTGTACCATGTGTGACTGAGTAAGAGTGATGGTGCGCGCTCCTTTGTCCCGAGTGATTTGCAAGCCAAGATAGCTGCGCAACTCACCCATGTCAGTGCAGATGTGTCTCTTCTGCAGCTCCGCCTTCACAAGGGGCAGTGCCTCTGTGTCAGCAGTAGCAAAGACCAAGTCGTCGAGGTACACGAGGATGTAGAACGACGGCAAAACGGTGCGCAGAAACGGCGACGGGTCAGCAGTTGAAGGAGCAAACCCAAGAGCCGCAAGTGTCGTCCTCAGTGTGTCGGGCCACTCGTGGGGCGCCTGGCACAGACCGTAGACTGGCCGCCGGAGGCTCCACTAGGTACCCTCAGGAAACGACCCAATGAAGCCAGGTGGGCGGCGCAGCTAGATCTCCTCGTGAAGGCTGCCCTGCAAGAAAGTTGTGGAGAAGTCGAGAGAGTGCAGCTCGTAGTCATGCTGTGCTGCAACGTGCAGTAACACCCGAAGAGTGGTCATCTTCGGGGTGGGGAGAAGGTATAGAAGAAGTCGACCCCCTGCCACTGACTAAAGCCTCGTGCAACGTAACACGCCTTGAAGACAAGCGGAAAACCCGGCGGCCGCTTCACCCTGAAAATCCACATGCCATCGACTATGTTCGCCCCTGGAGGGGGAACTGCGTCGACGTATGTGCCTGTGAACTTCAAGGGTACCATCTCTGCATCCATGGCTGTCTGCCACTAAGAGGAGTACTGACCCGTGATTGCATTTGCGTAAGAGCGCTGGGTCGGGATGTCCAATGCATCCGGGTCTCCCTCAGGGGCAAGCAGCATTGCTGCGAGATGAGGTACAGCAGTCGCAAAGCACTCGAGCTGAAACTGCCTGTCCTTAAGGACGTCACTGCCAAGGGCAAGCTCACCCCCAACGGGCGCAGGACAGTCAGACTCAGAAACAAGACTCGCGAAGTAGTCAAAACGCTAGGCAGCAGCAAAGTCAACGAGCTCAGTGACTAAGGCAGACGCAGCAGTAGACTCAAAAGTAGGGTCAGTGACAAGTGTGGCCAAACAACGAGTGACAGTCAGACTAGCAGCACGAGCAAGGTTAGACACAGGGTCACGAACGTCAGGAAGAGAGGACGCTGGAGGAGACGGCACGGCAACACACTGTGGAACAGAGGAAGGACGAAGTGCCATAGTGTGAGTGCCAGGGACGGGTGGAGGACGAACACGGGGAGCACGACGAGTACGAAGAGGTGTGGAAGGACGGGACGCAGGCTCTCGACGCTCAGTCAGGGAGTCTGTCGACTGTAAGGAGCAGGCAGTGGGGAGTCAGGTTGTAACAGTGTCTAGGACTGGTCAGTCGGTGGACACAGTAGAGGAGGAGTAGCACCAGTGGAAGACGGAAGACTGAGTACCCGGCGAAGCGCCGAGTCAGGTGGTGGCAGCGATGACTGCGGCTGTGGTGAGAAAAACGGTCGCGGCTGCAGTGACTGCGTAGCACCCCCAGAACCAGAACCTACAGTACCTCCAGATCCATTACCTCCAGTACCTCCAGCTCCAGTACCTCTAGTACCTCCAGCTCCAGTGCCTCCAGTTCCTCCAGCTCCAGTACCTCCAGCGGCAGCACCGCCAGCACCAGCACCTCCAGCTCGAGCACCTCCAGCTCCTGTACCTCCAGCTCCAGCACCTCCAGCTCCACTACCTCTAGCTCCAGCACCTCCAGCACGAGTACCTCCAGCACCAGCGTCAGGAACCCCAGGCTCAGCACCCCTAGAATCAGCACCCCCGGGCTCAGCACCCTCAGGCTCAGCACCCCTGGGCTCAGCACCCTCGGGCTCAGCACCCCCAGGCTCAGCACCCCCAAGCTCAGCACCCCCAGGCTCAGCACCCCCAGAACCAGCACCTCTAGCGTCAGCATCCTCAGAGTCTACGCCTCCAGTGTCACCACCCCCAGCAGCACCTGAGTCCACCGCGACAGGCTGCAGAGGCGGCGAGGACGACCGAGGCGGAAAGCCAGGAGGGGTCTCCATGCGCGGGGAGCGGCAAGAGGCCGCAGTGTCGCCAACAGCAGGGTCACCTCCCTCAGCCGGGCCAGAGGAGACCTCCAAAGGCTCAACCAAGGGGGGTGATGCTACCTGAGACACACCTGAGGGAGCAGGACGCGAGGAGGGGTGGGGGTCTACCAGGGGGTAACCCAGAACCAGGAAGAGGGGCGGCGGGTGGA